CATGACCTGAGCCGAAGGCAGACGCTTAACGACTGAGCCACCCAGGCGCCCCCAAGAGAAAAGAAGGTTTATGGCATGTTGGATGGCTTCAGGCATGGCTGGATCCAGGAGTCTAGCAATATTATCACAAATCTCTCTCTGCATCTCTCAGCACTTCTTGCCTCTGTTGTCCTTGCCCTCTGGTGAGCTCTCTCTGAGCAGTGGCATGTGGAAACTCTAGGTCAGCATTCCAGCAGCCCTCGAAGGAAGATGGCACCTCTTTCCTGATAATTGCAGAAGATACCCTGAGACTGGTTCTCCTGGGTCTCCTGTGGAAATGGGGCAGAGGCACGTACTGAACACGTACAGCTTGGTCTTTGGACGTGTGTGTGCCCATGGAACCGCCACCGAGACAGCCGGGGTGCCCACTGGCTTTTCCTCCTGCCCCTCTGGACCCTCGCCCACCCCCTCCTGGCCCCCGTGAGCACTCATCTGCTGTCTCCGGTCGGTTCACCTGCATTTTCTAGACTTTTCTATACAGGGAGGCATACAGTGTGTTCTCCTTGGTGTCTGGCTGTTTGTATGCTGCACAGTTAATTCTGAGAGTCCCTGGGGCCTTCCTTCTGCTGCTGAGTTGCGTTCCACAGAGGGGCGGACCCATGTGCTGACCAGCTCACCTGCTGGAGGGCATTTGGGTTGTTTCCAGGTTTTGGCGATCACAGCTGTGGCCCGTGAATAGCCCTGTCCAGGTCTTTGCATGGACGTGTGTCTTCATCCCTCTGGAGAGGATTCTGGGGTGGGCCGGCTGGCTCACAGCAGGGAGCCTGTGTTGAACCGTGGACGAAACCACCCGGCTTTTTTTTTAAACTGAGGTGTACCTGCTGTAGAAGGTGAGGTCAGTGTCAGGCGCCCAGGGGTCCGCCAGCCAAACCGTTCTGGAGGAGTTGCACCTGTTCTCATTCCTGCCAGTGAGGCGTTGGGTTCCTGCTGTATTGGGGCGTTTTACTGCTTTAGGAAGGACATGCACGCTCCCTGTTCCCCATGGTCACGCTGATGGCTGCACGCTGGGTGGCTTAAAACAACGGGGTTTCACGCTGTCCCTGCCGTGGAGGCCGCAAGCCCCCCAGGGTGTCACAGGGCTGCACTCCCGCTGTCCCTCCCACCTCCGCCTTTGTCAGGTGGTGTCTCCTCTCATCAGGATGCTTGTCATTGTTTTGGGGCCCATCCTACTCCAGGATGAGCTCATCTCAGCATCTGCAATTACACCTGCAAAGGCCCCTTTCCCGAGTAAGGCCCGGATCCCCAGTTCCGGGGTCGGACATGGGGGTGCTCTTTCAGAGGTCCCACCATCCCGCCACAGTGCCGCGGGGCTGTCCTTGTCTGCCCTGGTCTCCGAGGGGCTGTCCTTGTCTGCCGGGCCGGGGGTGGCAGGGCCGCCTGGGGTTCGTGTCAGGCCCGGGCTGTGTGTGTCTTCCTGGGAGCAGGAGGGCTTGGAGGGCTGGCTGGGGGCTGGCAGGGGGCTGGCAGAAGGTCTGTGACAAGCACAGAGTGACCTGCACCCTTCGAACGTGCTCAGGACACCATTGCTGCCGCCAAGACGTGGACACACCCTTTGCACCGAGTTTCCGTCCGGTCTCTGCCCCTGCAGTTCCCTGAGCGGGGCAAAGAGATGCTCCTTCCAGAAATTTCCACAGAGCGGATCCTTGCTGGGATAGGGAGGGGATCCCTCACTGAAGGAAGATTTTAGCACCATTGTGATCTATTTTTAAACACCTTTTTTGAGGGGCTACCAACTGGCACAGTGGGAAGAGCATGTGACTCTCGATCTCGGGGTTATGAGTTCGAGCCCCATGTTGGGTGTGGAGATGAGTTAAAAGTAAAATCTTAAAAAAAATAAACACCTTTAAAGATTTTACTTATTTGAGAGAGAGAGAATGAGAGACAGAGAGCATGAGAGGGGGGAGGGTCAGAGGGAGAAGCAGACTCCTCGCTGAGCAGGGAGCCCGACTCGGGGCTCGATCCTGGGACCCTGGGATCATGAGCTGAAGCAGTTAACTAACAGCCACCCAGGCGCCCATAAACACCTTTTTTGATGATGTTCACACACCATCCTATTTACACACTTAATGTGCATAATTCAGTGGGCTTTGGCATATTACATTATTAACTTTAAAAATTAACAGGCAGCCTCTCAGGGAGTGGCTTTCCCCTGTGAGCCGGTCCCATGTCCAGACCCCCAGGACCCCTCAGTACAAGTGTGGGTTCCCCGCCTGACCCGAGGCGCTTTGGTTCTAGAACGTGGAATCACCATGGGCCCCTCCCTGCCACTCTGTGACTTTGCTGGCTTTGCTCACCGTGGCCCCAGTCAAACCACCGTTGTGTCTGTCCCCCAAAGAGACACGCTCAAGTCCTGCCCCCCAGGACCTGTGAATGGGACCTTACTTGGGTTCAGGACCTTTGTAAGTACAGTCCGGTCAGGTGAGGCCGTACAGGAGGGGGGAGGCCGTGCCGCACGGACTGGTGTCCTCGGAAGAGGGAAGTCTGGACGCAGACGCATGGGGACGCAGCCACGTGCCACCGAGGCAGGCACTGGGGCGATGCAGCCGCACGCCGAGGGACACCCGGAGCCTCGGGAGCCGGGAGAGGCAGGAGGGACGGTGCCCTGGAGCCTGCAGAGGGCGCGCGGCCCCGCCACACTTGCATCTGGGGCGCCTGGCCCCGGAACGAGAGAGAATAAATCCTGGTGGTTTGAGGCCCCATCCCCGAGTGTGGACTCCGTGGCCGCTGCCCCGAGACTCAGACCCTGGGCCGAGGGCTCC